ATATATATATATTGTACTAACCGCAAGAAAAAGATCGTGGCCAAGTAGTCCATAAGCCATCCAAAGTGAACTAGCAAGAAATGAGAAAAATGACAAGTAGAATGGCATAAATTCCACACTCTTGGTCTGTATCACTTGTTTCTGTAATAAATAGCATAATCGGGTTATAAACAAAATATATAGCAATATATACAATTAATCGAATATATTAGTATTTCTTTTAACAAATTCAAACATAGAAAGAGGCATGAAATATTATAATTGACAAATTAAATAAGGAATAAATTTCCTTATCTTCTTGTAGTACTTTCCATAACACCAGCAAGAAATTAAACGGGATGACCAGTGTAGTTAGACAAGTAACACTTCCTACAAACCTTATAAATTCATGAATATTCCCATTCATAGATCACGAACCATGCTACATGTACAAACCATCCATGGGTTGACAGAAATCTACGATCTATTTAAAAAATTGTTTTTAAATCAAAAGCACAGATCTTGACAACTCTTGACAGTACATGATTGTCAACAAAGAATGTACAAATAGTTTTATTCCATATATTACTATTCTATATAAATGTTAAACATATTTGATGGACACTCATTATCTCTACATGACATGACCTTACTTTATGTGTATTATATTCAAATTAAACGAAGTTAGTTACTTTATGTACAACATATATAATTAAATGACATTAAAAAAAATTATGTTTTTAGGCAAGAGAAATTACTCACCACAACAACTAGAGGAGATCCGTACATTGCTACAGATGCAACGAGCCCAATACTTCCTACAAATGCTTTGCGATGGCGGTGATCATGAAATACAAAAGCTGATAAAATCGCAGTGATGCAGGACAAAACGAGTACAGGTATTGTCAACATAGTGACCTTCTTCTGCACATTCATTGCATGTAAACATTAGTGATATATTTCATTCTCTCTAGACTATACATAATAATACTTGCAAGTACAATTTTATTGAGAAAAAGACTTGGTCCTTCTTTGATTTTGCTAAAAATCAAGTTTTAGAAAAATCTAATCCCATGAAATGGGATTACCAATTAATTGCTAACTTTGACTTAGATTTTTATCGACTTTTATTACCAAACAAGGGCTTAGTCTGTTATTGTTGTATGGAGAAGTAGCTTGCCTTTCCTTTAGCCGAAACAAATGTGATTATCAATTAATTGTTGACTTTGATTTAGATTTTTATCATCATTTATAGCTAAACGAAACAAGGGCTTAGTCTCTTATTGTTGCATAGAGAAGTAGCTTGCCTTTCCATCAGCTGAAGCAAAGTAGAAATATATGGCTATGAAGGAGAGCTCCAAAAGAACCCCTAACCCATTAATGGTTACGATTGGAAAGTTTTCCCACCGATAACTAACGATTGGTAAGCCATACCAAGTGTAGAGGAAACAATTCAATAGTGCAAGGATGTATGGCACACAAGAAAACCCTTCCGTGCTTTTCTTTCTTATTACCCTCGAGAAGGTTAGTCTGCAAGAAATATCGGAAAACACAACACCTAATTAGATCAGAGTTAATCGTGATCGTTCTATGCTACACGGGGCCATGTATTTTCACATATCGACTGGCCAAGTACATGTAGCAGTCTTAACATGGAATTATAAAAAAATAAAATGTATATCAAAGAATATTATGTTACATTGGGGCAGAATAGAGCAATAGAGCTGCTGCATTCCCTGCAAGAAACGCCATGCAGACGTTGGTTTAACATAAGGCTATCAAAAAATACACAAAATCAACGGTGGAGATGAATGTACCCATGATTCCAACTGCCAAACGAATTTTCTCTTCCATGTTTTTTGATACAGAAGAATGAATGAAGGGATGAATCGGGGAAGAATAGTTAACTGAATATATATTATTGTTGCCCTTGAACTGTTTAGCAAAATTTCATGGTATATATAGAGCAAAAAATGAAAGGAAGAGGAAAAAGAATAAACAAGTAGAAAATGGCAAGGGAAAGTGCTGTCCTGATCATCAAATGAATATGTGGAGGTGAATATATCAGAATACATAACAAAATAAAAATAAAATTGTGGACGAAAAACTGTTGGAGCTGCTGCTGATTTAATTCTCTGAAAATTGTTTAATGCAAATGCTCTTAGTCCTTATTAGCTTTATGATAATAAGTGATTAAAGTGGAATAATGGGAATGATATTGCCATTTTGGTTCTCTTTTAAGTGGAAGATGCCACTGGACTTCCACTGTCCAAATTGAGTTATTCTTTTTTTGGTACTTCTAGTCTAATGCTGATGCAGTGAGCATAAAAAACACCTAACCACTTGACCTTTTTGAGGACATGGTTCGAAATCGGAATAAGCAGAAATCTTGGTTCGAGTCTTATAATGGCCATTTATTCATGACTTTTTGATATAAAGTGAATATAGTTTTAAGTGGCGTGTAAAAGACAAAAGTTAATGTAACTTTTTGATGAGGTCCTTCAATAATTATTATATTTTTTAAATAAAAAAATACTTAAGATCATTAATTTTAAGAAAAGGCTAAAGGTCAACGCGGTTGATAGTTTCCAGTTTATGAGCATGTTTGCCCAGGATTAAAATCGAATTTTAATTGAAAATATGGCCGTTATTGAGTCCCACTCGTCTAATAAAAGTCAACAATAACGGCTAGTTTTTCAATTTTAATCCAATTTTAATCTTTACCGAACACGCCCTATAATTGAGATGGCCGCAAGGCATGCTTCCATGGACTACGCTGATTAGCATTAAAAATATTTCTTATTCACAATACTATTCATTCACACATGTTTGATCCCATTATTTTGTCAAAATGTATTTAAGAATAGTGATTTGATGGAAAATGTGTTTTTAAAAAATAAGGAAAAATTGTGGGTTTCCGTGTAATATTATTTTATTGAAAAATGTATGATTGAAAATAAGAGAAAAAAATGTATTTTGAAAATAAACCAAACAAGGCTATTAGTCGATGTTTGACTTCTATTATTTAAAACTCATTTTTAATCATACATTTTAGAGTTATGCTATACAAACATGTTCAATGACAAGTGATGAGTGTATTTCACTCATACTTTAGATATTATCTAAATTTGATATTTAACTAATTTCTATGAGTTTCAGAGTGTTTTAATGTGTGTTTTGATGTTGTGATATAGGTTGATTAAAATGAAGGAAATAAGCAAAAGTTGGCAAAATTGGAGAAGATGACTAAATTGTAAGAGTTCCAAAATTCGGGGACTATAGTGAAAATACTTCAAAAAATATATATCAGCTTGGCTCAAGCCTAAGACCAAGCCGGCCGGCCGGTCGGCCGGCGGCGACGCGCGCGTGGGCTTGGCCAAACCTATTCTCATGTAGGTTCTCCCTCCTTAAAAAACTATTGATACTCCTTGGTTCGAAATCGGAATAAGCAGAAATCTTGGTTCGAGTCTTATAATAGCCAATTATTCATGTCTTTTTGATATGAAGTGAATATAGTTTTAAGTGGCGTGTAAAAGACAAAAGTTATGTAACTTTTTGATGAGGTCCTTCAATAATTATTATATTTTTTAAATAAAAAATACTTAAGATCATTATTTTTAAGAAAAGGCTAAAAGGTCAATGTGGTTGATAGTTTCCAGTTTATAGTTGAGATGGCTGCAAGGCATGTTTCCATGAACTACGTTGATTAGCGTTAAAAATATTTCTTATTCACAATACTATTCATTCACACATGTTTGATCCCATTATTTTGTCAAAATGTATTTTAGAATAGCGATTTGATGGAAAATGTGTTTTTAAAAAATGAAAAATGCTATGTGGTGTACACATAGCTTTACACCTCCCTCACATGGAGGGGGACCCACGAATATTTTATTGTGTGTGGGCCCCCCTCCATGTGAGGGGGATGTAAAGCCGTGTGTACACGTAGCATCACTCTTAAAAATAAGGAAGAATTTTGAATTTGCGTGTAATATTATTTTATTGAAAAATGTATGATTGAAAGGAAGAGAAAAATATATTTTGAAAATAATGAGGACCAAACAAGGGCTATTAGTCGATGTTTGACTTCCATTACTTAAAACTCATTTTCAACCATACATTTTAAAGTCATGCTACACAAACATGTTCAATAACAGGTATTTAAGCAGATGCACACTTGATACATTTTCATTGGCAATTAAAAAAAATAAAAGGAAAAACTGCTAACCAGGGGTTGCCATTTCAGCCCTCGGAAACAGTGCATGTCATTGAAGCTGTTCAAACAGCTTTTCCCTATATTTTAATGGGATCCACAATTTTCATCAATTTTTCAACTACATAATTCATCAACTTTTATCAAAATCTACTAAAAATATGTTTTTTAACAAAACCAACAAGGGACGTAATATCGTGTGTTGCATAAGTCTCTAATATTAAATATCTTAACATGAAAAAGTGATTGTAACAATGTTAAATATCGTTTGTATGTGTTTCAAAGCAGAAACCAGGGTAATATCCCCAGAAATGGCTGTCAAAGTATTTATGTAGTGAAAAGTAAAAAACCCATCAGGAGCTCTAATTACATTTAACAATTCAATATTTTTGTTTTTTTTTTGTTTTTTTTTTTTTGGTGAAAGCATGTTTTACAATTCTAAACCCACACGGTAAAAGAGACAAAAAGGGTTGGCGAAAAGATAAAAGGCATGTTAAAGGGAAAAATTTTGTCATAAGCATAAATTAGGTACATAATTGATGTAAGTGCACATCCAAACACTCCATTGTACATAAGAATAAAGAAAGCATTTGAATACTTTGAGAAGAATCAGCTTATGGAGTCAACTGGTTCTGAGTTTAGTGGTTGAGCGTCCTGTTCATAGCACATATATGTCTTTAATAATACCAAGTCAGTCTGTGCTTAAAAGTAGGTTAAAAGATACTTATCTAAATTAGAGGAAGTTTTACTTTCAAAAATATCCAGTAATGAACTATATATGTGGAGGCCAAGGCCCCCCTTCCTCTATTGAAAGCTAAACTACATGTCTACATCCCAAGCCACCTTGGAAGCATTAGAGATCCCAATCCCACCATGCTAGAGGGAAATTTTTGTTGAAGATTGTTGGCAAATAATTATATAGTTAATGGGCAGAATTGATCTCTCTAAAAATTCGAGAACTAAAATAGAAGAAAATTATTTTCGAGACTGAATTGCAAAATATGAATAATGCAGGAACGAATGAATAATTTTGGAAGAAGAATAAAATTAGAATTGATTTTGTAGTGAATGAAAATCGGGGTATGAGAGCCTATTTATAAAAGTTTAAAGGTTATGTCCAAAAGACACAACAACCGAAAAGCTGTCTTAACTGTTTGGACAGGAAACAACTAACTGTCAACCGTTCTTCTAGAAGATTTAACATGTCACACACAGAAAAATCGAAGAAAAATAATATAAAATAATACATTATTATTTTAAATAATAATAAAATAATATAAATCAAATATTATTTTATCAAAAAATATATATCAGCTTGGCTCAAGCCTAAGACCAAGCCGGCCGGACGGCCGGCGGCGACGCGTGCGTGGGCTTTGGCCAAACCTACTCTCATGTAGGTTCTCCCTCCTTCAAAGACTATTGATACTCTTTGGGACCCAAACCCAAGTCCCAAATTTGAGCAATATAAAGTTATTTATATTCTTCTAGCTTTCTTATGTGAGATTGACACTTTTCCAATTTCCCACCAATTTTTATTCAAATTTATTTCAACTTTAAGTGGTCATCTTTTGATCTTAATTTCTAATTTACTCTAAATTGGTTTTGAGAAAATAAATACATAACATTAATCTACTCATGGAGTAGAACACACTCGACCAAAGAAAATTTTGTCAAACTAACAGGATCCACTAAAATAATTGGTCAAAAGTTGGTCAAACCATCTAATAAAACCAATTTTGAGGATCTGTTCAATAACCTTGCACACTTCCTTCAAAATAATAAAATTGTTTTGTGATAGACAACTTAAAGACTTGGCCGAGTAAGTTCAACTTATTTTTAAGCACAACTAAACTTTCGTCAAATCTCGCAATCACCATTGATATAAAAAGTGTATATGTATTTGCTAAAAAAACTGAGTCAGACTTGCAAGTGAAGGGACCTATTGTAAAAATAAAAAATAAAAAAAATCTAATAATTCATGATTTAGACGACTTTATGTAAGTATCGTCTATTCAGAGAGGTAGTTGGGAGTCAAATATGCAACATGCACATCTATGAAAATGGAGTAATTTAAGAATATGTTCGCAACTTCTGAAAAAGGACTTTGCTAGGGGTACATAAATCTTCACATAATGGTTCCCATAATTACAAGTGGCACATATCCAACCTTTAATTCAAATCTCACACTTTCACATCAACTATTGGATGATTGCCACATCACGTTATGTACCTCTCTATGTGAATAAATTATGTACAACAAGCATTATCCCTGAAAAATGTGGCCAGTCGTGAAAACACCATTTCTAATATTGTAATCTCAGAAATATATATATATTTTTACGCAGAGTTCTTTCGTGGATCGACCTTACAATTTTGACTAATATTTCATTAAAGATAGTTTAAAAATTTCACACGTAATTTTGATTTTACCTTAATATTTCTTATAAATATGAAGTCGTCATTAGTATTCATAATATCATCAACAAAAAGAGAAATTAGAGAAAATAAGGTGTACAACTTTTTCTTGTAAACTTCATTTTATCATAGTGAATTACTACAGTGGTGGAAGAGAACGTAGCCTCACAATGAGTTGAACGTTTATAAATGTTGCGTATTCTTTTGTATCTTTTTTTAGTACTCT